CAAAAAAAAAGGGAGGAGAGTGGGACAAGGCAGCCCAGACGAAATTAAAGAGGCAAAGAAAAGGGATATTTTTAAGTCTGATTATTTATTTAGGGATCAATCCAAAGGCAACCGGCCCAGAATCGTATTAACTACACGTCCAATTTTGATTTTATTTTATTTAAAAAAAGAAAAGAAAAAAGGGGGGACAAGAATGCTGAAGCATTGTTTCTGAGTTACAGATTCTTGGACCAAATTGGCCTTTGCATCCACCTCCCTTTGCCAAACTGCTCAAGTCTATTTGGGGTCAACTCCCCACTGCTTTGCTTCGTGGAAGCAAAATAATAAAAAAAATGAAATGAAGTGAAAAAATAAACGCTGGCCAAGCGCAGGTTTTGATTGTAAAAGGAATTCTGACTAGGACCGATTACAATCAGAGCTAAAGCCAAACCCGGATGATCTGCTGGCTGGAGTCGAACTTGAGGCCGGAAATTGTCTTCCATCTTCCTGGAAGTCTTTTCTCCTTTCAAAAAAGGCTTCTGGGTTTTCTCGTCTTGTTCTCAGCTTGTACTTGGGTGGAACCCTCCTTAAATTGATTTCCTTGTTGCTGCGGTCGGTCCTTTCGCTTAATCATCTCTCTGTTAGGGATCCTTTCCTTGCCTCTTCCCTCTTTCTAGAAAGTCCCAAAGTTAACTGGACTTTCTTGTTTTTCCTTTGAAGACGTTTCGCTTCTAGTAATAGTAGTAAAGTTGGAAGGGACCTTGGAGGTCATCTAGTCCAACCCCCTGCTCAGGCAGGAAACCCTACACCATTTCGGACACATGGCTGTCCAGTCTCTTCTTAAAAACTTCCAGTGTTGGAGCATTTACTGCTTCTGGAGGCAAGCTGTTCCACTGATTAATTGTTCTCACTGTCAGGAAGTTTCTCCTAGTTCTAGGTTGCTTCTCTCCTTGATTAGTTTCCACCTGTTGCTTCTTGTCCTGCCTTCAGGTGCTTTGGAAAATAGCTTAATTCCCTCTTCTTTATGGCATCCCCTGAGATATTGGAATACTGCTATCATGTCCCCCCTTGTCCTTCTCTTCGTTAAACTAGACATACCCAATTCTAGCAACCGTTCCTTATATGTTTTAGCCTCCAGTCCCCTAATCATCTTTGTTGCTCTTCTCTGTACTCTTTCTAGAGTCTCAACCTCTTTTTTACATCGTGGTGACCAAAACTGGATGCAGTATTCCAGGTGTGGCCTTACCAAGGCCTTGTAAAGCGGTATCAACACTTCACGTGATCTTGATTCTATCCCTCTATTAATGCAGCCTAGCACAGTGTTGGCCTGTGAGAAGCTTCTTCAGCTCTGACTGGAAGGAAGAGGATGGAAGGATTTATACTCCTTGCGGACAGCTGGTCATTTGCATCCTTTGAGAGAGTCGTGGAGGCCACTTGGAGGCTTACCTGTGTCCTCGGGGTCACCTGAGTGGTGCGCAAATGGATGTGGAGCCTTCTTGGATGCAGGATGTTCTCTTCCCTGTTGGGGATGACTCTGGGTTGTCCGCATCAGCAAACTGAAGCGCAAATGGTTCCTGGAGTCTGCAATGTTTTCTGGAAATCCGTCCATGCTCCCTCACCCTTCGAAGGGGGTTTATCCCCAAGTGCATAGCTGAATGTCTAGGGAGGTTCTCCGTCCTCCAGGTCTGTGGTTGTCCCAAAGGTGCTTTTTTTCAAGAGGCAACTGGGCGTTCTTGTTTTTTCTTTGAAGACGTTTCGCTTCTCAGCTCTGACTAGATGCTGGGGATTTGAATGGGACAAAAGTCCCCGGGAGGACTCAATCAAAGTGTGGGGAGATGATTCTTTCTTTAAGGACAAGGGCAGCAAGGTTAATAGGTGGAAGCTTGTTAAAGAGAGATCCGTCCCTGGGTTTCAGGAGGTCAAGTCAGTCTGACCAAGATTGGGGAAAAAAGGAGAGGAGAGAGAGAGAGAGAGATGGGGGGGGGGAAGAAAGAGAGAAAGAGAGAAAGAGAAAGAGAGAAAGAGAAAGGGGAAGAGAGAGAGAAAAAAAGACAGAAAGAGGAAGAGAGAGAGAAAGAAAGAAAAAGAGAGAGAGAAAGAGAAAAAGAGAGAGAAAGAGAGAGAGAAAGAGGAAGAGAGAGAGAGAGAAAAGAAAGAAAGAGAGAGAGAGAGAAAGAGGAAGAGAGAGAGAAACAAAGAGAGAGAGAAAGAGGAAGTGAGAGAGAGAAAGAGAGAGAGAGAAAAGACCTCACATTCACTTTTGTTCCTGCTATTTTTACCTCCCGTGATCTAAAGCAGATCGATCCAAGTCTTATCTGATTAGGAGGAGGCTTGGGGCAAAGAACAGGCCAGGGAAAACATAAGCAGAAGCTAACAATGTTACAGGTCAACAAGCACATCCAGGAGGGTTTGTGAGCTGAGAATACACAGAGGCAAAGGATTCTAGATCCAGGCAAGGCGAGAGCAAAAGGCAACGTTCATTCTTCCCATTTAAAAAAAAAAAACAACCCCAAGACAAAGCAACACACCAACCTGGTCATAGAGAACCAAAGAGATACTTGGCATCACATCAACCATCCAACGCCAGACAAGGAATTGGTAATAGCAAAACTATGTTTAGTATAACTACTATAGCTATGGATACTATGATTACCACCATAGTGGTAACCAACCAACCAACCAACCAATTTTTGGTTAGGAAGGGAAGAGAAAGAAAGAGCTTGGATTATCAATGGAAATGCGTTTAAGACAAACCTGTTGTGAGCATTTGTCTCTACTTTTAAATGACAATTGCCCAGCTGCTGGATGCTTACATTTTACAATTAAGTCCCAACATCTGTGATTCATCTTCTTTATTTAAAAGAAGATAAGCAGGCTGAAGCATTTACAACATCTGGAGGCAAGTTGTTCCATGGATTAATTGTTCTCATTGTCAGGAAATTTCTCCTTCGTTCTAGGTTGCTTCTCTCCTTGATTAATTTCCATCCATTGTTGCTTCTTCTCCTGCCTTCAGGTGCTTTGGAGAAGAGATTGACTCCCTCTTCTTTGGGGCCACCCCTCAAATACTGGAAGGCTGCTATCATGTCACCCCTGGTCCTTCTCTTCATTAGACTAGATAGTCCCAATTCCTTCAACCATTCTTTGTATGTTTTAGCCTCCATCCCCCTAATCATCTTTATTGCTCTTCTCTGCACTCTTTCCAAGAGTCTCCACATCTGTCTTATATTGGGAGGGGGGTGACCAAAAATGGATGCAGTATTCTGAGTGTGGTCTTATCCGTACTATTTTAAACATTTTGATTGACTTGATGTGCCTTACACATCGCCCAGGCGTCAAGTAAGTTTTGTCCAACATCTGACCGCTGAAATATATTTTGAGCGTGACTGGACATTCCCATTTGATGGCCCTAATTAGCAACAGTCGGCGATGTTCTTTGTGTCCTTTTGTGAAGCATCTGAAGCCTGATTCTCCCAGTAGTGTGAATTTCTTGGCTCTAGGAATCACAGAACCATTTTCCCCCCTCCCATCAAGGGGGAAGGGACGGAAATTTATAATGAACAGCTAAATCTCTGGACCCACATCTCTTGAACACTCCAAGCATCCTGCAGCCATTGAGCACTGACAATCATTGCTAATCAAGCCTCGGGAATAAAAAAGATCTGGTTAAGCAATTATCATCCTTGAAAAGGAAGGATAAAAGCAACTTTGATGCCCCTTCAAGGGGGCTGATTAGCATCTCAAAGGAGACGTCAATTCCTTCAGCTTTGCCAACGTGGGGCTCCCAGAGATTTTACCCTTTACTTTTCAGCTTCCCTTCCCCCCCTAAAAGATCCCATAGATAAGCTTTCACTGGTTCTAGGATTTAGAATGGGGAGGGGGGCTTTAATTACAAAGAAACCAGGAAGGATTGACCCGTTCCCATCATCAAAGATGAAAGACAAAGAACGCTTAAACCCGAGTTTAAAGTGTGAATAAACCCCAATCCGGGTGAAATTTAAGGCTGTTTGTGCAGATGAATCAAAACAACTGGCCCACAAGAGGGTAGCAGACTTGGTAACAACAGCGTTATTGTGACCGCTACACACAAATGCAACACAGAACGTAGCATCATTGGATTGGAAGGGACTTTGGAGGTCTTCTAGTCCAACTCCCTGTTCAAGAAGGAGATCCAATGCCATTCTGGACAAATGGTGGTCTACTCTTCTTAAAAAATTCCAGTGTTGGAGCATTCACAACTTCTGGAGGCAGGTTGTTCCACTGGTTAATTGTTCTCACTGTCAGGTAATTTCTCTTTAGTTCTAGGTTGCTTCTCTCCTTGATGAGTTTCCAACTGTTACTTCTTGTCCTGTCCTCAGGCACTTAGAAGAATAAGTTGACCCCCCCCCTCTTCTATGTGAGAGTCCCTCAAGCACTGGAAGAAAATTGCTATCATGTCACCCCTAGTCTTTCTCTTCATTAGACCAGACATATCCAATTTCCTCAATCATGGTATGGTTTAGCCTCCAGACCCCTGATCATGTGTGTTCTCTCTTCTTTGCAAACATGCTGGGCTGAAGTTCGTAACTCCCGGGAGCTAGCTAGCCTACGTTCCTCGTCTACCCATAGTTCAGTCAGTTGAACTCACCGGCTTTATAGATACTTTTACACCAGTGCCTGTACAAAACAGTTATCCACAAGGGCTAAACGTTGCCTGAAATCTCAAGTTATTGTGAGCGTTCTCACATCAAAGTCCAACCAGATGTGGAGCCTGGCTGCCAAAGGCTCAGCTTTATTATCATCATTATTATTAAATAATAGATGAATTTATGTTTGTATTCACTGCTCCGAAAGAAAACACTAGCTCCACCAGTTGCTTCTGAGACTAAGAAATCTGCAGAAGAGATGCTGATCTCTATCTCGTGTCAGGCCACCTCAGATGGATGGTAACAGCCACTTTTCTCTCCATCCCTGGACCGTTCCATCCTCCCCACAATCTGCCGCGTGGTATTCACGGAGGGCAAAGGCACCCCAGCCAAACTTACCTACGCAGTTGAACGATAACTCCCGGTGGCAAAAGAGAGAGCAGCCGTCACGATTCACTTTGTTCATGTCGTCACACTCTTCCCCAAGGTCCCTGCCAACAGAAACAACCGTTTAGAACAAGCAGATTATTAAAATAAATTTTCAAGGGTGGGAGGATCTGGAGAGGAGACCTTAATGTCTTAAGAGGTTAAGCCAATTTCTTGCTTGCTTATTTTTTATTTTTGCTTTTCTATAAGATGCACCGAAAAGAGAATAGGAAGGGAGGGAGGGAGGGAAGGAAGGAAGGAAGGGGGGAGGGAGGGAGGGAGGAAGGGAGAAAGAAAGGGTAGGAGGGAGGGAGGAAGGGTAGGAGGGAGGGAGGGATGGAGGAAAGAAGGAAAGAAAGAAGGAAGGAAGGAGGGAAGGAAGGAAGGAAGAGATGGGGAGGGAGGGAGGGAGGGAGGATTTAGAGGGAGGGAGAATGGGAAGGATTCAGAGGGAGGGAGGGAGGAAAAAGATATGGAGGGATGAAAGAGGGAGGAAGGAAGAAAGGAAGGAAGGAAGGAAGGAAGGAAGGAAGGAAGGAAGGAAGGAAGGAAGGAAGGGATGGAAAGATAGGGAGGGATGAAAGAGAGAGGAAGGGAGGGAGGAAATTTTAAATATGTTTTGGACTAGATAAAAACTCCTGTAAGCTCCATCAGAAAGACTGGTTAAATAGGGTACCAATACATGCTAAACAAACATTTCCCATCGGTTTAACAAATATTAAAGCAGGGACTTTAGCTGGTTGGCCAAGGATGAGATGGCAGAGTTACCCCTCATCATGACTCATCTCCTGGAGAGAGGACCTCTCCTCACTTAGGCAGATCTTCAGAGCCAATCTGAAAGACAACTGAAATTCAAACTTCAGTGGCCACAAATCCTTGTGAAGCATCTCGTTTCCTGATAGCGCGAACGAATTTGGGACTCCGTTTTGTTTTGTTTTGTTTCTTAGGAAGGCAAGGGATGGTTACAGCCTTCCCATATTTAATCTCTAGAATATTTCTGGTAAGACAAAAAAAAAAAAAAAAAAGTCTCTCAGAGTGAGATGAAACATCATAAAACAATTATGGGGATTTGCATGGAAGTAACAACATACGACGAATGTTGATTGAAGGTCAGCCAGTTTGGGGTAAACAGTTAAGGCCCCAGACCAGAAACCAGGAGAATTAACTGGGTGACTTTGGGTCAATTTCTCTTTCTTTCTCAGTCTTAGGAAGCAGAAGTCAAGGGGGTGGGGAAAAAAAATATCACTTCTGAAAAAGCTTGCTAAGAAAACTGCAGAGGTTGGTCCTGGCAGTCTCCAGAAGTCAACGCTGATGTGAAGGCACGCACGCAAGGCTTTGCACACATTCAAACAACAGGAGACATGTGTGTTGAATTGCGCAATGCTAGAGCCCGCCTGGTAGATTCTGAATAGATTCTCTGTGTCCCCCAAAGAGGAGTTTGGTTTTCCAGTGTGGGTTTACTATTTCTGAATATTATTTTTGTCCCTTGTTCTCAATCACATTTTTTAAAATTGATTTTTAGCGGTTTTCCCGTATAGCCCTTACTGTCGGCGGCAGCCTCCTTGCGTGACCACCACTTTCCAATCCAAAAATATTTGATGGGGGGAAAAATTCCTTTCTTCTTAGGAAAGGAAAGCATGGTGGAGCAGGGGGAAGCTGCAGACTATTGAGGAAGAGAGTGAATGACTTGTTCATCTCATTTTGTAATAAAAAGAGGTAGGAACTCTAGAAAAAAAAAACTGCAGAGAAGAGAAACCAAGATGATCAGGGGACTGGAGGCTAAAACTTTTAAAGAACGGTTGCTGGAATTGGGTATGTCTAGTTTAATGAAAAGAAGGACTAAGGATGATATGATAGCAGCCTTCCAGTATCTCAGGGGCTGCCCCAAAGAAGAGGGAGTCAAGCTATTCTCCAAAGCACCAGAAGGCAGGACGAGAAGGAATGGATGGAAACTAACCAAGGAGAGAACCAACCCAGAATTAAACAGGAATTTCCTGAAAGTGAGAACAATTAATCCGTGGAATAACTTGCCTCCAGAAGTTGTGGGTACTCCAACACTGGAGGTTTTTAAGAAGAGATTAGACAGCCGCTTGTCTGAAATGGTACACAGGGGTTGGACTAGAAGATCTCCAAGGTCCCTTCCAGCTCTATTCTGATAGATAGATAGATAGATAGATAGATAGATAGATAGATAGATAGATAGATAGATAGACAGACAGATAAACAGAGATAGATATATAGATAGATAGATAGATAGATAGATAGATAGATAGATAGATATGGTCTAGGGCAGTGTTTCTCAACTTTGACAATTTTAAGGCATGTGGACTTCAACTCCCAGAATTCCATAGCCAGCATTGCTGGCTTAAAATTGTCAAGGTTGAGAAACACTGGTCTAGGGTCTCCTGTTTGAGCAGGGGATTGGACTAGAAGATCTCCAAGGTCTCTTCCAACCGTTATTCTGTAATTCTATAATCTCAGATAAATGAACAACTGGAACAGCTTTCCACCAGAGGTTGTGGGTGCTTCATCATTTTTTAAAGAAGATATTGGACAACTGAGATTTGTCTGAAAGGGTATAAGGTCTCCTGCTTGAGCAGGGGGTTGGACTAGAAGACCTCCAAGGTCCCCCCAACTTTGTTATTCTGTTCCATTACACCATGCCTAGTTCTATTACTCAACAAGCTCTTTTTTCTTTTTGCCTCTACATCACACTGAATCATACCCCCACCAACCACGCTGGGTTTACACACACTAAGGTAAACCACAGACCGTCTGACCAGGGTTAAACAACCTTAGCCAAAGCCATTAGGGTTTCCATTGAGCTGGCTAAGCCGTCCACAAAATGCCAGAATTTTCCTTTGTTTGTTTGTTTTGTTCCGGGTAGGAAATACATTTGGAAAACAAATTCTGTTTCAACAGATGCCATAGGAGTTGGTGGGCCAAAAAAAGAAAGAAAGATTTTTGCTAGACCTTACGAGCATCACGCTTTTTGACAGACGCATCCCTCCTTAACTTTAAATAAATAAGAAAAGAAAAGAAAATAATGACAATGACAAAATCCCCCCTGTGAAAAGCAACCACTGCCCCTTCTTTATTTTTAGGACATCACTAATTTCCCTATAATGGCAAATCTAGACAGCATACTCAAAAGCAGAGACATCACCCTGCCAATAAAAGTGCGTATAGTCCAGGCCGTGGTTTTCCCAGTTGCAATGTATGGCTGTGAAAGCTGGACCATACGAAAGGCTGAGCGCCAAAGAATGGAGGCCTTTGAACTATGGTGCTGGAGAAGACTCCTGCAAGTCCCCTGGACTGCAAGGCGATCCAACCGGTCAGTCCTAGAGGAGATCAACCCCGACTGTTCTTGAGAAGGCCAGATCCTGAAGTGGAAACTCAAATACTTTGGCCACCTAATGAGAAGGAAGGACTCACTGGAGAAGAACCTAATGCTGGGAAAGATGGAGGGCAAGAGAAGAAAGGGACGACAGAGAATGAGGTGGCTGGATGGAGTCATTGAAGCAGTAGGTATGAGCTTAAATGGACTTCAGAAGATGATAGAGGATAGGAAGGCCTGGAGGAACATGGTCCACGGGGTCGCGATGGGTCGGACATGACTTCACAACTAACAAAAACATAATGCATTATCTGCTCCCCTGGCCCCTCTGCCCCAGCTGAAAAATTACAAGAACTGCCTAATTTTGAACACAGCATTCAATAAGCCAGATCCACTGCCATTTCTACGAAAAAGCCATCCATCCAAAAGCAAAAATAATCGTGCAAACAATGGAAGAGAATATTTGTATCTCTGGGTTGAATTTGAGGGTTCTTAATGGTCTCGGAGCTCAGAGAGGGCCAAGGAGCCCACAGTCATACAGTCATTTTCATGTGAGATATATATTTGGGGAGGGGGCTGAAACTTTCTTCCTGAAAACATCAGGATTTTATTTTGGGAAAATACCGCATTTGAACAGATCCTTGGCATGCACAGAAGCCCGAAACTTTAGCAATGCGAGGCAAGAAAAAAAAAAAACAGTTTGTACTTACTCCTGGACAATCCCATCACCGCAGTAGCCTTTTCCGTGCGTGTAGGACAAGGTGGGAGACAGTTCGCTTTCTTTTTGCTCAGAAAGAACAGAAACCCAATAATGGTACGTCGTGCCGTTCTTCAGCTCGCTGCAAGTGAAGGAAAAGAAAAAAGAAAAATAAAGAAAAGTCAGATGGAACCTGGGCATGATGTCCACTTCCTTGGAAAACCATTTTTTGCAAGATGTAGCAACACTGTGTTTATTTATTCATTGGGATCTTTGGGGCTTGCAGATGTGTCTTTAGCCAACTAGGGGACATTGTCAGTGCTAGAATGGAGTGGAGGAGGAGGAGGAGGAGGAGGAGGAGGAGGAGGAGGAGGAGGAGGAGGAGGAGGAGAAAGAAGAAGAAGAAGAAGAAGAAGAAGAAGAAGAAGAAGAAGAAGAAGAAGAAGAAGAAGAAGAAGAAGAAGAGAGGAGGGAGGAGGAGGAGGAGGGAGGAGAGGAGGGAGGAGGAGGAGGAGGAGAGGAGGAGAGGAGGAGGAAGAGGAAGGGAGGTGGTGGAGGAGGAGGAGGAGGAAGAAGAAGAAGAAGAAGAAGAAGGAGGAGGAGAGAGGAGGAGGAGGAGGAGGAGGAGGATGAGGAGAAGAGGAAGGAGGTGTGAGGAGGAGGAGGAGAAGAAAGAAGAAGAAGAAGAAGAAGAAGAAGAGGAGGAGGAGGAGGAGGTGGAGGAGGAGGAGGAGGAGGAAGAAGAAGAAGAAGAAGAAGAAGAAGAAGAAGAAGAAGAAGAAGAAGAAGAAGAAGAAGAAGAAGAGGAAGAAGAAAGGGAAGGAGGAGAAGAAGGAGAAGGAGAACTGTGAGGCTCTTGGTGCTCTCTGAGATTGGTTGTGTTTCTGCAGATGTTTATTTATCCAACTAGGGGAGATTGTCAGTGCTAGAAGGGAGTGGGGTTTGCAGAGAAGAGGAGGAGGAGGAGGAGGAGGAGGAGGAGGAGGAGGAGGAGGAGGAGGAGGAGGAGGAGGAGGAGGAGAACTGTGAGGTCCTTGGTGCTCTCTGAGCTGGGTTGTTTTCTTACGGATGTTTCATTCCCCAACTGGGTAACATCATCAGTACTAGAAGGGAGAGGGGTTCTAGCCCTCCCTTCTAGCAATGATGATGTTACCTAGTTGGGGAATGAAACGTCTGTCAGAAAACCACCCAGCTCAGAGAGCACCGAGGACCCCACGGTTCAGTCCAGACCTAGAAATATTCTCTTCTATCGGTGTGTATTTAATTCTCAGATCAATATGACCGCCGACCTGACAGAAAGCAGCACCTAGAGGAGACAAACAGACTTCGTATCCAGCGTGGACTTCCATACCGTTGTGTGGCACAATTGCTCACGTCTCTTGGGAGAGAAGGAATGGAGAGGAGCCCTGGTCCTCACCAGCAGGCTCTCCAACTTGAGGCAAAAGCCTGTTGAAAGTCACTCCAAACCACAATTCCTGAGGGGGGTCCTTCCAATTATCCCGAGCCTCCCGCCAGTGTTTTGCAAGCAGTGACATTTAAAGGTTGTCTAAGAGAAAGGGATTTAAGTCAAGGAAACAGTCCTTTCCTCTTCCCCCCCCCCCGCCTCTTCCCACATCAACTTGGGGCGAAGGAGAATGGCCGTCTCCAAAATGAAACCCAGATTGCCGGGGTGGTGCAAAAATTAGCCAAATCGTCCTCTCCATAAAAGTGTGGCTTTTTGAACGGTACTGGGTTGTTTTGATTATTTCCAATGAAAGGGTTGCATTGTCTAAAGCTGCAAGGTTTTGGTCGTTGTTCGATTCGCGGAAGAGAGGAGAACGTAAGCCACTAACTAATTTATTCCTCTCTTACCTTAATAAGATTTGTATTATTTCCAGGAGTGGGGCTGTACTAATTCATTTTATCATCTGGGGGTGGGGGACAGGAGGGGTTGCACTATTCTAATATTTGGGACTTTTCTTTTGGAAGAATTGTCCCGTTTAGATTTTTAAAGGGGGATTCTGAATCCAAAGCTCTCTTTCTTTATTTAAGTATTAAAGCTTGCAGCAACCAAGTGTACACCCACCCTTTTGCTTATTCCAAGAATACAGGCGATTTACAACAATAAGCATGAACCATTTCAAATCACTACCCAGATTAAAAGCAATCATTAAAATAATGAGAAACTTTGGCAAAGAGGGATGTTTTTGCCATCTTCCCAAATACTAGGAGAGAGAAAGAGAGAGAGATAGAGAGAGATAGAGAGAGATAGAGAGAGAGAGAGAGAGAGAGAGAGAGAGAGAGAGAGAGGGGGATTTACAGAACACAATCAAAATATCCCCATACCTTAGAACGGTGGTAGAGAAAGCACATCACTGGTAATAGCAAAACTATTATTAGTGTAACTACTATGGCTATTGATGCTATGATTATCATTCATTTGTATCGGTGGAAAGTTGACCTCCCACCCACCTGATTTCTGGTTAGGAAGGGAAGGAAAGGGTTTGGATTATCAATGGAAATGCACTTAAGACAACCTGTTGTAAGCCTTTGTGTCTAATTTTAAATGACTATTGCCCGGCTGCTGGATGCTTACATTTTACAGTTAAGTCACAATATCTGTGCTTCATCTTCTTCGTGTAAAAGAAGATATGCAGCATGAAGTAATAAGTTTCTGGAGGAAAGAAAATGGAAGGGATGGGATGGGATGGGATGGGAAGGGAAGGGAAGGGAAGGGAAGAGAAGAGAAGAGAAGAGAAGAGAAGAGAAGAGAAGAGAAGAGAAGAGAAGAGAAGAGAAGAGAAGAGAAGAGAAGAGGAAAGGGGAAAGAAAGAAGGGAAGGGAAGGCATGGGAAAGGAAAGGAAAGGAAAGGAGAAAGGTGAGGGAAGGGAAGGGAAGGAAAGGAAAGGAAATCTAGTGAAGGAAAGGAGAGGGAAGGAAAGGAAAGGAAAGGAAAGGAGAAAGGGGAGGGGAGGGAAGGGAAGGATAAAGACAAGGACAAGGACAAGGAAACTGTCTAATAATTATATGCATTATCTTAAAGAAGATAATGATGTCCGAAGTTAGTAGCTATTCAATTACGGTGCTGCTGCTGCAACAGCAGCATTGTTTTAAATACTGAATCCTGCAGATTACCATTTCAACGGAGAAAGAGGGGAAGGTGGCAGGGCAGAGGGAAGAATCCTTGAGAACATTTTAAGTGATGCGCCACAAAAAATGGATAAAGAGGCTCCATTCAACCAGATGGCTCTTTCCAGCCAGAGGAAGGTCAATGTGAATCATCGAGCTGGTGTCCTTTACCAGAGATAACGGAACAGAATGTCCTTCTCCCCAAAGGGGACCCGAAGCTAACAAATAATTCAAAGAAAGTCCCTCAAGGGGATGATCTAATCTGTCCTCTCAAAGGAACATTCCTACCAACTGTCCTTCCTCTCGAATCGCTCACCATGTCCCCAAGTTATCCTCCTCTTATGTAATTAATCTGCCCCCCCCCCAGCCCATCCTCAGATTCACTTGTGGGTATTTGTCCCAGACTGAATGTCCAATGTTGGACAAACTCTTTGTGCTAGACCGCAAAGGACACCCCTGTGGGCACTGCAAGGCAAAGTTCACGAAGCCCATCTCGTCCAGTGAAGAAAAGGACTAAGGTGGACTTTCCAACGCTGTTGAAACGTCTGCAAGAAAACCGCCAAGCTCAGAGAGCACCAAGGACACCACATTCATTCTCCTCCTCCTCCTCCTCCTCCTCCTCCTCCTCCTCCTCCTCCTTTCACTCTACAAACCCACGCCAAACCTCTCACTCTTCTAGCACTGATGATGTTACCTAGCTGGGTAATGAAACGTATGTAAGAAAACCATCAAGCTCAGAGAGCACCCAGGACCCCACAGTCATTATCCTCCTGCTGCTCCTGCTCCTCCCTCCACTCTACAAACCCACACCAAACCCCACTCCCTTCTAGCACTGATGATGTTACCTAGTTGGGTCATGAAATGTCTGCAAGAGAACCACCCAGCTCAGAGCGCACTCAGGACCCCACAGTCCTCTCCTCCTCCCCACAATCCCCTCTCCCTTCTAGCACTGATTATGTTACCTAGTTGGGTCATGCAACGTCTGCAAGAGAACCACCAAGCTCAGAGCGCACTCAGGACCCCCTCATTTCAAGCGTGAACCACAAATATTCCCTTTTATTGGTAAGAGAAAGAAAACCCAGCAAATTTCTCCTTCGACGTTTCAAGTCGGTTTCTTAATACAGCAAATAGAGAGCCTTTTAAAATTATTATTATTATTATTATTACTATTACTACTACTATTATTATTTTGCTCAAGAGAGAGTTTTACACACACATGTGAACTGTTTAGGTACTCTCAACTTTGGGGCCTCTTTAAGGAGAGAAGCTGGGTCAATTTCATCTGCTTTAGATTCCCAGGAGGAGTCAGGACGAAGCTGCTTGCATTTCAAGCGACAGTTAAAGAAAAACAAAAACAAAACGGGACTTATTTCTCTTGGCCCATTCCCCACATTTTAAAAATAAGGGGTGGGGGGGGAAAGAGAAAGAACCCCTTCTCTGTTATCATCCAGTTTGCAACTGGCCTCACCAACTAAGCCGCAGAGAAGCAGTAGATCAAGCTTGGCGCTGTCTGCTCAAGGAAAAAAGAAAAAAAGAAAGAAAGACCCAGGGATGGACAAGCCATATTTTGGATGAAGGGACGAAGCAGCTCTGGCCAAAACCAGCAAGAGAAGAAGGGTGAGAAGGGGGGGGGGGGAATGGTGCACAAGTTTAGAAAGGAAATTATTTTTAACGTGGTTGAGTAATAATGCACACGTCCAGCCTTGCCTTTTTCCCTCCATCAAATGGAGAAAATGCCATTTGTTTACGCCTGGGAGATTTTGCGGTGTTTCAGAATTTACTCCAACATCTAAATATGGAACGCTAGGGTGAAATAAAAGGCTGCGAGGAAGGGCGTAACAATATATATTGTTAGACACATACCGTACACACACGCACACAATATATTTTTGACCCCAATCTTTTAACTTTGGAAGAAAAAGGGAGGAGGGGGAGGAGGAGAAGGAGATGATAGACAATGATAAAAAGAGAAGGAGAAAGAGGAGAAGATAGGTGAGGAGGAGGAGGAGGAGATAGACAATGAGAAAAAGAAAAGGAGGAGAAGGAGGAGAAGATAGACAATGATGAGGAGAAGGAGGAGGAGATAATTGACAATGACAAAAAGAGAAGGAGAAGGAAAAGGAGAAAGAGGAGAAGATAGACAACGAGAAGGACGAGAAGATGACAGAATGAGGAAAAGAGAAGGAGAAAGAGAAGAAGAAAGAGAAGAGGAAGAGGAGATAGACAATGAGGAAAAGAGAAGGAGGAGAAGATAGATAAAGAAGAGTAGAAGAAGGAGATGACAAACAATGGTGAAAAGAGGAGAAGGAGAAAGAAGAGTAGATAGACAATGAGGAGGAGGAGATAGACAATGAGGAAAAGAGAAGGAGAAGAAGGAGGAGAAGATAGAGAATGAAGAAGAGAAGCAGGAGATGACAGACAATGAGGAGGAGGAAGAGGAGGAGAAGATGATAGAATGAGGAAAAGAGAAGGAGAAGGGAAAGGAGAAGAAGGAGAATATAGACAATGAGAAGGAAGAGGAGGAGGGGGAGGAGGAGGAGGAGGAGGAGGAAGAGGAGGATTGCCCTATATTTTGTCAAGCCATTGTAAGTCTTGTTTTGGCCAAGAACCAGAACACAGACCCATTGAAACCAATCAAACACTGATGTACTTCAACACATAAGGGAAAACACCCATTGGCATAATCCACACATAATTGAATTTATTCTTCTGACATAAGATACGAAAAGGAAAATAGACATTGTACCTTGGAAGCTACGGGTCCCACCCCTTCCTTTCAACAAAAAAGGCATAGGTTGTGTTAGGTTTTCTTTAAAGGAGAAAAAAAATAAAGGCTTCACACAGCATGCACAATTCAGTTAGACAAAGGACAACGTCTGTCCTCAAATAACACACCATGCCCAAATAAATAAAGCACAGAATTGCTCGATCTACACAACGCGCTAAGCAAGTCCCTATAACCTACAGTAGTCCTTGATGCACAACCACAATGAAGTCCAACATCACACTTGCCAAGTGAAAGTGTGGCCCAATTTTACAACCTTGCTGGCCACAATTGTTCAGTCAAGCACTGCCGTTGTGAAGTTAGTGACACAGTTGTGAAGTGAATCCGGCTTCCTCATTATGACAGAAGGTCGCAAAACGGGATCACGTGACACCCCCGGGACAACGCAACTGTCATAAATGTGAGTCAGTTGTCAGGCATCACATGACCCTGGGGAATGCCGCAACGGTCATAAGTGTGGAAAATGGGTGTAAGTCACTTTTGCCAGTGCCGTTGTAACTTCAAACAATCAGCAAGTCAACTGTTGTAAGTTGAGGACCCCAAGGTTATCATTCATACAGTAGCTAGCATTTATGGCAGAAATGGTGGAGCAGAAAGATTAAATCCCCAACTTCCTGGTTCTTCCTTTTCCAATTTAATTGATTTCCCCATGGCATTGGAACATCCAGTCCTAAGATTTTTGCCCACCCCACAGATGAGCAGTCGTAAAAAGAGGACTAGGCTAAGCCATCGTTGTTTATTTCTTATGGCGATTGCTACCCCTGCTGTCCAAATTAAATCTCTGGGGTGACTCATTTTAGTGCATTTCTTGGGGGAAGACACAGCACGAGCCACTCCAAGGAATAAGCTTGCAAATAAAGATGCCAACAAGCCAACATCTGAGATAAATCCCCATCTAAACAAATTCTGTTCTTTGACTGATAGTCTTCAAGCAGCTGAAATGGTACAGCAAGACGAAGAAGAAGGAGGAGGAGGAGGAGGAGGAGGAGGAGGAGGAGGAGGAGGGGAGGAGGAGGAGGAGGAGGAGGAGGAGGAGGAGGAGAAGAAGAAGAAGAAGAAGAAGAAGAAGAAGAAGAAGAAGAAGAAGAAGAAGAAGAAGGAGAAGGAGAAGGAGAAGGAGAAGGAGAAGGAGAAGGAGAAGGAGAAGGAGAAGGAGAAGGAGAAGGAGAAGGAGAACTGTGAGGCCCTTGGTGCTCTCTGAGCTTGGTTGCTTTTTTGGAGATGTTTCTTTATCCTACTAGGGGACATTATCAGTGCTAGAAGGGAGTGGGGTTTGCAGAGAGGAGGAGGAGGAGGAGGAGAAGGAGAAGGGGGAGAAGGAGACCAATCATTGATGCTGGTTGAGTAGATAAACAACTCCGCCATCTTTTAACCTGGTTAGGGGATGAGGATGAAAGGAGCATTTTGCTATTCCATTCTTTATTCCATTCCATCCCATGTGATCAAATTCTTTTGGCAGTTCCTTTTTGTCTTACGGTACTTACGTGTCCAGAAATCTCCGACTGAGGTCCAAGATGAGAAACGAAGGACCTTCTGGAAATGGAGGGTCCCGAGAGACTTTGTACTGGATGGGCCGGCATTTTTTACACTGTGAGCTCTGTGGGACCGAAGTGATCATAGCAGCGTCGATCTCCAGTTGTTCATCCAAGGTGTAAATCTGTATGCCTCGGACCTCCTCCTTCATCTTCTCCGTATCCAGTCTGATGGTCATGGGGATGTCGCAGAAGAAGTTCTGAGGCCCAAGTGAGATGTTTTCTCCTCCGACCATCAACAGTTTGATGTCGTTTATGGCTTCTTTGGAGTCCCACTCAGGGGAAACATAAGTCACCCAGATGGTCAGAGATTCTGGGATGACCGGAGATTGGAACTGAAGCTGAAGGTAGCATCCTTGAGGTTCAGGGCAAGCTGGTGGGACTGTTTGCTTGATGACCGCTGAATTGGGAGTCCATGTTCTTACATCAGGTTTACATGGCTGTTCCACATCTGGGTGCCCTTGAATACAAGAGAAGAAAAAGGTAGAATGGAATCAAACTTGCATTCAACCTACCCAAACTCGGAATGCCCAAGATTCTCTAGGACCTTGCTCCAACAATCCATCTAAATGAATGTAAACTACCTTCATTTTCTAGGATGGGGGTCTTCAGCCTTGGCAACTTCAAGACTTGTGGACTTCAACTCCCAGAATTCCTCAGCCAGGCACGCTGGCTGAGGAATTCTGAGAGTTGAAGTCCACAAGTCATAAAAGGGCCAAGTTTGAAGACTCCTGTCTTAAATCTAATAAACAAAATGGAAGCTGGCTGAGGAATTCTGAGAGTTGAAGTCCACAAGTCATAAAAGGGCCAAGTTTGAAGACCCCTGTCTTAAATCTAATAAACAAAATGGAAGCTGGCTGAGGAATTCTGGGAGCTGAAGTCCACAAGTCATAAAAGGGCTGAGTTTGAAGACCCCTGTCTTAAATCTAACAAAATGGAGACTGGCTGAGGAAGTCTGGGAGTTGAAGTCCACAAGTCATAAAAGGGCCAAATTTGAAGACCTCTGCTCTAAACTAAAGGCTTTTATGCTTGCAATGTTTTTCCTTGTGAGGGAAGCCATTGTAAAAACACACTAAATCCCCTGATGGATTAGGGCAGGGGTCTTTCAAGAAGAAATGGGACAGCCATTTCTCTGAAATAGTTTAGGGTCTCCTGCTTTGAGCAGGGGGTTGGACTAGAAGACCTCCAAGGTGCCTTCCACTCTATTTTGTATTCTTATTTTCAGGGGTGTTATAGAAAACGGGCAGAAAAGTATATTTGACCCTCTGAAGTCCAAGGCATTACTCTGTCAGACCCGGTTAACCTACCCTCCTTTTTCTCAACAATTTTGCCCCACAAGCTCCAAAACTCAAGGAAAAAACAAAACACAAGCACAGAGATTTTTTTTTTTTAAAGCTGGACAAGGTCACAAGGATGGCAACTCGGTCTGATAAAAACAGAGGGAAAAATGAAACAGATGCCAGAAGAATTATACAAGCCAGAAGAGCAGCAGTGGACTATCTCAGTTGCAAACAATGCAAGGTTGAGTAAGGAGAAAGAGGAGCTGGTTTTTGCACCCCTTCAGCAGAAACCGAATGAGCAAATATCCTCCTATTTCTTATTTTTTTATTTTTTTTAAAAAAGGCAGGTCTTGATTACTAAGACCTCCGAGGAGGCGAAAAAAAACGGGCTGCATACTTAATTATAAATTTGTTACTCATCCTTCACTGCTTTTCCCCTTGATTGCCTTCTTTGTTTGCTTTCTTTCCCCAAAATTCGTCATCCTTCTTAGGTATTAATCATGCTGTCTGAGGAGGCTTCCAACCTTTATCTGCAGGAGCTGTTAGCCTGTGCGTTAAGCGCCTTTGCAAAGCCCACACTTGCCTCCCTTTCTCCGTCCCACCCTGGTCCGGTGTGTAAGTAACTTGAGGCTGACCTTCAGCTCCTCGGGGGCTCCAGTGGCCTGATGGATCACAGGGCATGGGCGAAGAGGCACTGGAAGCGTATTGTACCAAAACATGTCCTTCCCCACAGAGCTCACACGAGGATCCCACTTCTCTAGGTGGCCAGGAAGAAAGAAGAGGAAATGCTCCAACTTAGTAACAGTTGAAAAGAAGATTCATTCATTCATTCATTCATTCATTCATTCATTCATTCATTCATTCCTCTCTCCCTCTCCCATCCTTTTTTCCTTTTTTCCTTCCTTTTTTCCTTCCTTCCTTCCTTCTTCCCCCTCCTTCCTTCCTCCCTCTCTCCCTTCCTCTCCTTCCTCTCTTCCTCTCTCTTCCCTCCTTCTTCCCTCCCTTCCTTTTCTCCTTCTTTCCTTCCTTCCTGCCTCCCGCCCCTTCTTCATTCCTCTCACCTTCTCTCCTCCCTCCCTTCCTTCCTTCTCTTTCTTTCTTTCTTCCTTCCTTCCTCTCTCCCTCTCTTCCTTTCTCCTCCCTCCCTCCTTCTTCCCTCCCTTCCTTCTTCCCTCTTCTTTCCTTCCTTCCTTCCTTCCTTCCTTCCTTCCTTCCTTCCTTCCTTCCTTCCTTCCTTTCTCCCTTCCTTCCCTCCCTCCCTTCCTTCCTTTCTTCCTTCCTTCTGTCCATCTTGGTGTTTCCATGGTTTATTTAATTATGATTTATTGAGATTTGGCATACTGTACAATAAGCTACAATCCTTGGTCCACTTTTCACACAGTATGCTAACCTCAACCTCACCAATGTTATTACAATGAACCCCATCTCTAGCTGGGTCTGCCTCTTGGGGGATTTAATCTTTTAGTTAAGACTTCGTCTTCTTCTTGGGTCCCAGTCACCAACACGCCTCCCCCCTCCCCAAATTTCCTGGCAAGTCTATGGAGGTTGAATTATACTCCACATGGACTATGACTAAAGGCAACAAACCAATTTCTCAGCCGTGTAAGTACAACAACAACAAAAAAAAAAACATTCCTGGGTGAAGAATGGATTTGGGGTGGTTCAATGAATCACCTTCTAAGTCCGGGCCCATCTTGCTGATAATCAGCTTCAGAGACAAAACATTTCTTTTGCTGCTCAGGTTTCCATCTCCCTCTCCCATAGAGAGATGGAAATCAGGATTGAAAAATTAAAGCCTCTTGCCCGACCCTCTCATGGAATCAGAAATTCTGTAATATGCAAGCTATTTTCTTGAAAGAAGGAAGGAGAAGAAGAGAGGGATCAAGAGGAGATAAATATGAATGCCGCTGCCTTGTTGGAAAGCATGTTGGGCTGATGCACCCCACGTTGTTGCTGTTGCAGTTTTAAATCTCCAGGGGGGACTGTTGATTGAAGGACTAGGGGTGACATGAAAGCAAAGTCTTCCACTATCAGCCACAAAGAAGAGGAGGGGGTCCACCTATTCTCCAAAGCGCCTGAAGGCAGGAGAAGAAGCAAAGGATGGAAACTAAGCAAGGAGAGAAACAACTTGGAATTAAGGAGGAATTTCCTGGCAATGAGAACAATTAACCAGTGGAACAACCTGCCTCCAGAAGTTGTGAGTGCTCCAACACTGGAGTTTTTAAGAAGAGACTGGGCAATCATTTGTCTGAGATGGAATAGAGTTTACTGCCTGAGCAGGGGGTTGGACTAGAAGACCTCCAAGGACCCTTCCCACTCTGTTATTCTGTCATTCTGAATGCTCAAACCACCTTACCCAACTGCCTCACCCTGATTCCAGACGGAATATAACACTGCTGTAAAATACCTGGTGTGGGGATAACAAGATTAAAAAGCGGGCTTTGATGCAGTTAAGAAATGAGCAGACTTTTTCCTCCCTGATCCAACCCACATTCTTCCATGCTTCCTAGTTTCTTTTCTTATGCATTCGAAGCTAACAAAAACACCCGTTGTTGCAAAAGGCAGAGGGTGCATCTTCCCAAGCCTAAAGAGCAGCATTAGCCTTTGCTTCTAAATAAAAGCATTTATTAGTGGCTTGATTTAGATGATGCAATTAGCTAATTTTAGACCCCGGTCCTCTTTAGAGGCTTGTGTGGATTAGCTCACTTCTTGTGATGTGATGGAAAAACTGGTTCGTTGGCATCTGGGGGCTCCTTTCCCATATATCTCCCTCGAGTTTTACTTACAACACTTTCAAATCAATCCATCAAAATAGAGCTGGAAGGGACCTTGGAGGTCTTCTAGTCCAACCCCCTGCTCAGGCAGGAGACCCTATACAATTGGAGACAAGTGGCTGTCCAGTCTCTTCTTGAAAACCTCCATTGTTGGACCACCCACAACTTCTGAAGGGAAGCTGTTCCACAGGTTAATTGTCCTCACTGTTAGGAAGTTTCTCCTTCCTAACAGTGGGAACAATTAACCAATGGAACGAGAGAGAGAGAGAGAGAGAGAGAGAGAGAGAGAGAGAGAGAGAGAGAGAGAGAATAAGAGAGAGAGAGAGAGGGTGTGTTGGATGGGTAGATGGGTGGATGGGTAGATAGGTATGTAGATAGACAGACAGACGGATGGATGGACAGATGGATGGATGGATGGATAAAGGGAAAGAAGATGGATGTATAGAGGGATGGATGGATGAATGGATGGATGGATGGGAGGGCAGATAGGTGGGTGGGTGGGTAGGTAGGTAGGTAGGTAGACAGAGACAGATGAAAGGATTGATGGATAGAGGGATGGATGGAGGGATGGACAGATGGACATTCTGGTAGAGAGAAGTTCCCTAAGGATGGGCTCCAGCATGAGTCCAAAAGCTCAGAAGGCGAAATCTTCTGGTCCCAGTGACTGACCCAGATTGGATCCTGCAACATTATCCCGGGACACGTAGACTCGCTTTCATTTGTGACAACACAAATTTTCCCATCCCAAAGCTGGTCTGAAATATTGGGGAAATTAAAGGTAGTAAATGGTCAATTTCAATCAGCTATACGTATCCGAAGTGGCAGATGAGATCCATCTGCATTGTAATCTATAGGGTGAAAATTCCTTAGGACAATTAGCACCCCAGTAACCATCTAAGGTTGGGGTTCCGAATTTTTCAATGTGTATTAATGGCCATCTGAGATGAACGCTAAATTTGCAAGTGCTTACAAAAAGGGCAGGTCATCGTTCAAAATTAAGATTTTGAGCCATTCTCTCCCTTCCGTCTTCAGAGGGAAAAAGTCATTGCAAGATTTATTTATCCAAGATTTGGGGAGGGGGCTTAGAAAATGATGATATCATTGAAGGACAATGTTCCTTTGATATCCCCCAGGGTCATACCTGCTCGACAAAACACAAACCCTCCCCATGGAAGGGGTGTTGATTTAAGGTTTTTGTTATGAAACCTTAGATCAAACTGGCTGGCAACTGGATGTCATTTAAGTATCCGTTGGCCGTGGCTTAATAAAAACAGACCGAGGGAGGCTGAAGAGTGACCTCAGGGCTCGTGTCTTTCATTACACAACAATTAGCCTTCGATCAGCGTGCCTCTTAATAGACAGATTGAATTTATTTCATGTCCAGTCACCACCTCACGAAACTTAAATTGAATGCACATTGCGTGGCCTCCATCGATCCTTCGGGGAAAAGGCAGGATGGAAGATGGCGCTGGGTCTGAACGGGAGGCCCATGGAAAAGGAGAAGCTGGAAATGAAACCTCCAGTGTAGGTGAGGGATGTCTCGACTGCTTTATTTACTTGTGACTCACAATCAAGCGGCTTTTCTAGACAAAGAGCTGGCTGAGCTTGAATTTTGTTGCTGCTCCGTCCCCTACGCTAATTCACAGGAGTTCGTAAACTCATTGAATTGGGTGCTGTGGAAACCTGGCATTTGAACTGGTCAAAATATTATCGAACCATGTTGGGTATCAACCTGTCGGAGAGTGGCTGAGTCTGGGGAAGGAGTTAAGTGGGGAATTAGTCTGGAATCCATATGTAGTCACAAGAGGGTAAGGTCTTGAATGCTGTTGAACTCTTCCTGTGTGGATCTAACTGTTCACACCTCATATTAATATTAATCTTCCCAGACTGATTGTCTACACTTGGACTAGACTATATAAGGTTCAACAACATTCAAGCGGATCAGACCTTGCCCTCTTGTGCCCATGTAAAGATTCCAGACTAATTCCCTGCTTGACTCCTCCCCCAGGCTTGGCCAACCTCTCTCCAACAGAACCTAATTATTTTCAATATTTGCTATGTGGCCAAACAGCTAAGATGCACAACATCTATTCCCCTTTGTTTCTGGGATAATTCTTCAGCCCCCCCTTCCCTTTCTGAACTTAATTTTGTTCTACTCTTCCTTGCTTCTGTGAATGTTCTTCTATGGTACTCAGATGGGTAGGCCCTGCTCCTTAATCCAAGGTACACCCCACAAAAGAAAGGGAACAATCATCCAACAATGTTCAGAACTCATCCCTCCCCTATCATTGACAACTTTCTGATCCTGCCTTCCAAAATCACCCGCTAGACACACATCGTTCCCCCCATTCACCTTTCAAAGAAGTGCTGGTCGATTGGTGGAAACCACTCCAGAGTAACAGAGGTTTTGGTTCGGTCCACGATCTGAGGCATGATGGCAATGGGGGCCGGCTTCTTAACTGGTTGCCAGCTTTGATACACAAGGTCTAGGTAGCAGTGCATACGGGCAACCTGGTTGGGGGTGAAGGAATTGGTGCAGTCATCATCTGGCGTTGCGCACACCGTCAAAAAAATAGGAGAGAGAGAGAGAGAGACAGAGAGAGAGTTAAGACTTTAGTAAAACAGGATTTTCCAGTTTTCTGTCTAAAATACTACTAGCAGCTGAGGGTAAAGGTTCATTCTCCGAGTTTGTGGGTTGCTTTCCAAACATTTCATTACCAGGTTAGGTAACATCTTCACTCCACAAGCAATTCCATCAACAGACACATTGACCCACAACCAGCTTACAAACCCCTCAGAATCTAAATTAACCACACAGCCAACCAGGCAAGCCCCCCCTCTCCTCCCCACACTAGCAGTTCACCTCCCAATGACCCAGACTTAATTTAACCTCCCCATTAGCAGACCCATCACAAGCTTCTTGCTGATGACTCACACCTGACCTTTCACAAGACCCATCACAGACCCTCACTTGACACACCTATACCTGAAGCCCTTATAAACAGAAGAACACTGAGACTTATGTCTCCTAAACTCTGCTGAAGATGTTACCTAGCCTGGTCACAAAATGTTCAGAAACCAACACACAAACTCAGAGAACGAACCTATATCCAAGTTACAGATATTTGCCATTACTGCAAACTACTAGCAGCTTTCTGAACTCAGCCAAAATTAAACTGCTGTATCTTAGTTCAGGGGTCCTCAATCCCCAGTACCGGGCCATGGCATGCTAGCAACAGGTCCACACAAACAAGCAAAGCCCCATCCGTGGGATGCAGGCAGCACACAAAACCACACACTCTCCGGTCCGTGGAAAAACCTCTCTCCACAGAACCAGTCTCTGGTGTCCAAAAGGTTGGGGGACCTCTGCTTAGTTGTTCTACAAAGCTTGCTTGAAGCTGAGCTGTGCTCCTGAAGACTTTATGGGGAATGTCCACATTATAATATGACAACAGTTCTCGCTTCCAAGGTATTATTTTCATCTCTCCCAGTCTGGACCACAGGGCTTATACAGTATCTACATCAAACACAGTTTTGGTATGGAGCTCACCAGCTTTTTGAATGCAGTTTTGAGTCCAACTATTGTACAACACTATCTAAAGCCAAGGTGTCCAACCTTGGCAATTTTAAGACGGGTAGATTTCAACTCCCAGACTCCTCCGGCCAGCATGAGGCATGCTGGGAGCTGAAGTTCATAGATCTTAAGGTTGCCAAGGTTGGGTCTAAAGCCTACAGCCAGCAAATTATCTCAACAGGAAAGAGCTGTTACCTGCATAGCTCATAAAGTTGTTGAATGGTGTATTCTGGAAGTTATGGAACCCACACATGTTACTGCTAGCAGGGGGATCGCCACAGACTTTGTGAGTTGGGGTAGGGTTGGTATCGGGGCAAAGATCCCCCGTTTCGAAGGATGGTTCTGTTTCCATGCAAGGGTCACTGCAGGAGAAGATCTCAGAGACCCCCTTAAAGACATGGTAGAGTCCGAGGCTGTGTCCAACTTCATGGATCATGGTATGGGTATGGCCAGCAATGCCATAGAAGGAAGGATTCAGGACGATGCCTCCTGCATGGGCAAAAAAAGAGAGGAAAGGACATTGTTGCGTGTTGGTGCCTCCAGAGACATCGTGAAAGAAAAGAACACACAGATGCAAGACTTGCATGAAGCCTATCAACAGCATTCGCGACAAACTTCCTTTCAGTGGATGCCACAAAATGAATTGTGTGAAATCCAGAAGGGAAGACCAATGAAATCTCTTAGTTATTATTTCCTTCTTGTTTGTAGGCATGAAAGCAAGGAAGGACATACATCAATAGAGAAGAAGAGAATTATTGAAAAAGAATAGAATATAAGTGAGAAATATAAGAATTTAGCTTTGGAATTAATATTTTTAAATAAGAGAATACTTGGGGCACCTGATTAGTAAATAAATATGTTAGTCTAAGATTAAATATTTGAAAAATTAATAAAGTGTAAAACAGGATCTTCGGGATAGATAATAAATGTTTGTAAACTTTTATTGATTAACGAAATTCACATGCAGCGATATATTTAATGAAAATTTGTTTTAGAAATGTATCAATGAGATTTTAATAATTTAAATAGAACCTCAGTTCATATTTAAGCGCTTAATTTAGATGTAGCAATATATTAATGAATGAATTGATTTTAGAAATACATTAACCTGATTATAATATCTTAAATAAATGGAGAGTTTTAGTTTAAGGTTAAATATGTGAAAAATTACAGATTTGTATAGAATAGATATTGAGCTGTTGAAAATTTTTATTGAACTAATGGAACTTATGTTTAGATACATTAATGAATGAATTTATTCGAGAAATGTCTTGATTTGATTAGAATATCCTATATCGATAGAGAGGGAAATTTTAAGAAATATTGTGTGCATATTTATAATATTATTGTTTTTTAATGGATCACCATATCTCCACGTTGGTTCTCAAGCCTTGTTGGTGCAAAATGGAAAACTAATAAAAATTGTTATAAAAAAATAGAGAGAAGAAGAGGAGGAGGAGGAGGAGGAGGAGGAGGAGGAGGAGAAGGGAGAGAATCAGGGTGAGGGACTCCAATAGGCTTCAGTGG